CTCTCTCTCTCTCTCTCTCTCTCTCTCTCTCTCTCTCTCTCTCTCTCTCTCAGCCTCTCTTTATTGTCTCTATTTCCTAGTCATGTGCAGTTTCATGTGAAAGATCTCGATTTTAGCCTTCGTAGCCTGAAAATTAGCGTGTCCACTCCTCCAGGAACAGATCAAGATTCTAATCGAAGTTAAAAAACATTAGACTGTATTAATGTTTTGATGTATCTCTCTAGAAGCTCGCATGCCTTCACAATAACAACCATCCACGGGTAATCCTGACAAGCAGCTCGCTATCTAAATCCCATTAATTGCGTAGACCGTGAATAAGATCTTTCAAATTGCCTACACTCACGTATTTACAACTAATATTTTGTTTTTTGATTTTCCAGATATCCTCATTAAAACCTCAGAAGTGGGCCTTGGATCCAGCAGCATCGTTTAGAGTCACTCTTCTAAGGACATCCTCAACACACCTCTATCTATCTATCTATCTATCTATCTATCTATCTATCTATCTATCTATCTATCTATTATCTATCTATCTATCTACCTATCTATCTATCTATCCTCCTCCTCCCCCCCACCACCTCTGTCCCTGTCCAACCACCCACGAAGGAGTCCCAAAAATGGTATGTCGTTTTCCTCGGTCTACCAACACCGTCTGTCTCAACTCGTGGCTTCCGCATCCTCCTGGACACAACATGGCGGCAGCGCGACCTTCACCTTCCCCGGCGTCATGTCTCTCGCTGGCAAGGACGACCAACACGGAGGACACACCTACACGCACCAGGAGGACGTCACGCAGCACAGCTCGCGCCTCGGCTCCAAAACGACGGGGAACGATTATCACGAAAACACCCACAACAACAACCACCACAACCACCACAACAATAAAAACGCGACGGATCAAACCGTTGAGAATCTCATCCCTCTCCCAGACTGGTCCGTGGCGTTAGAGCAATGGGGAGTGTGCTGGCAGATCCACACCTTCGGATTCTCCGTCCTGTTCCTGCTTCTCACCTGCTTCAGCCTTGCCATTTTCTTCCGGTTCCGTTTGCGCGTGCGCAGACTGAAGATCGTGTTCAACACGCTGGTGCTTCTGGCCGTGTCCGGCGTGTTCCGGGCAGTCTTCCTGCTCGTTGACCCCTACGGATACCAGGACAGGATGGCCGGGGTCATGGTCGGGGTCATGACCCAGGGAGTCTACCCTTTGCTCTGTGCCTGCTACGGACTCACGCAGGTAAGGCGGGTGTCGGGGTTAGAATCTTCATTATAGTTGATATCGTCGTCAAAGTCGTCGTCATCATAGCCATCAAAGATAAAATGAATTAGCTCTGTTTGATCTTCTCAGATATTTGGCTACGGTTCTTAACGTTGGATGACAAACAGAATCTAAAAAAGCCCATTCATAAAGGTCACTGCAGGCTAAGGTTCCTTCACGGTTTCTTTGCTGTTAGCCTAAAGTGGGTCAAATTGGGGGTTTTTGTTGTTGTTTTTTTGTTGTTTTGTTTTAGTCTGCTTTTTTTAAAGGGAATTTATAGCATAAGCTAATAACAGTTAAAAGTTGACGTATTTTCCTCAACACCACACTTTAATTCACGCCTAAGAAACACGGTTCAAGAGACGGGGTGAGTACTTTCAGAGACTAAAGTGGAGACGTCTAGACAGCCGTGGGATGAAATCTACTATCTTACACTGAAATGAGGGGTAGAGCGGTGTCGCTGTCTCGAAATGAGCAATTTGTAAGCTAGGTTACTGGAGGTCATTTATTTTAGTGATCCTGGGTATACATTCAAAGAGCGGCTTTAGTATAGGGCCGAGATGGAGAAACTTTTTCATTACGGGATAAAAAATGTTTTTTAAATATTTGTTGTTTTTGTTTGTTTGGTGTTGTTTTTTTGTGTCTGATCGCTGACTTGTAGAAGTCAATACAAATTTTCGAGGGCATTGATAAATTAATACATGAGCTAGATTTTTTTAACGCGGACAGACGAAAGTGAACAAGCTATAAAGGGAGCTCTGTGCATACAGTGTTACACCAGCGCCTGTGGTGTTGTGGTTAAGCGCCTCTCTGTAGCGCGAGAGTTCGATTCCCGAGAGGAGGGAAATATTTTTCGAATATCTCGGTCTTTCTGTTGGAGTTTTGCTGGGGAACCTGCCTCCTATATGAACTAAGTTGTGCTGAAGGGAGCATGAAATTATCGTTAATATAAAAAAAAGCAACAAAACTTTCCTTTCAAAGGAGGTCTTTTATTTAGTCTCCAGACTGAATGGATTTGAATCAGAGCGAGCCAGGTCAAGGAGTAATTATTAAGAAATCAATACTCACGTCTCACATTATATCTTTTGAACTTCCGCGAGTACTCAAAGTGCACCGAGGTCGAGGAGAGTATCCCACTTATTTCAAAAGCAGAGGTTTTTTACCCCTCACGCCATTCCCCCCGAAATCGACATATTGTACTATCATCATCACTGCCTTTCTCACCCTGCATCTGTGTATAGGCCACGAACAAACACTTTCCATATTTCCTTTTCCCGGGCTTGCCTCTCAATATTATTAATCCATGTCTTCTCACTTTTCTCAACATATTATTTCTCTATGATTCTTTTCTTTTGGGTTGTTTTTTTGTCGTAACCATCTTCGGGTACCCGGGTGGTGTAGCGGTTAATGCTTCGCTGCCACTTGCAGAAGACCTGATTTCGATTCTTAAGTGAGGAGAAATATTGATCTAGTATCTCCGTCTTTCTGCTGGGATGTTGCATCCCTCTCAGCCCGGATTGGCTCTGAAAATGCAGAGTCGGAAGCCTGCCTCTTACGTGATTTAAATTGTGTATTTGAGGTGGGGGGGGGATGGGGGTGTAAAAACACTTAGATTTATTTGTTAATATATTATAATGTTTCCACAGGTGATGTTGGTTCGTATAACGAACGTAGAGGCGGGGCCCGGAAAACTGCGCAGTCTGAGCGCCCTGCTAGGCTGTACCTTGTCCTACCTGTTCCTGGTGGTTGTCATAGAAACCCTGGTCTTCTACCAGCGCAAGCTCAAACTGTTGCTGCTGTTGGACAGCGGCTGTTTCATCGCCTGGGCGCTGTATCTGGCTGTGACGTTCATCTGTACTGGATTCCGGTAAGTCTAGTTTTAGTTTTCATTTGAGTTAAAGTTTTAGTTTCATCTTTAATTTGAGATCTAGTTTTAGTCTAAGTTTTAGTCTAAGTTTTAGTTTTAGCCTTGAATAAGTTCTAGTATTAGGCTTAGATTCAGTATTAGTTTTGGTTTTAGTTTCAGCTTTAGTTTTAGTTTAAGTTTAGTTTAAGTGTTTGTTTAAGCTTTAGTTTTAGTTTTAATTTTAAGTTAGATTTTAGTTTAAGTTTAAGTTTTAGCTTTAATTTTTGTTTTAGATTTAGATCTAGTAAGAGTTTTACTGAGAGTTTTAGTTTATGTAAGAGTTTTAGAAAATGTTTTATAATGAAATTTTGATTAAAATACTTCTTTTTGGGATCTTCGAAGTCAGCCAAGAAAAGCAGTCACTCACGAATCATTTTGATATTAATATTTTAAAACGCTGGCTTTGACTTCAGTATGATTCTTACGATATGGCGTAGTTTTCAATGATATAAAAGAACATTAAAATCTTATCGTCAGCAGGCTGCAGGTTTGGCAGCATGTCTGGTCTGTCGGCTGCCCCCCCCCCCAAAAAAACCCAAAAAACGCGTTAAGAACAGTCTGGTGTTTGTGCGTCCGGCTGCAAGACTGTCTGCTTACAATGTTCAATTAAGTGCAATACCAGCTAAAAATTCAACCTCAATTCCGATATTCTGTAAAATTGTACGATTTTCCTTCTCTCCCCAGACTCACTCAGTACGCATCAGAGACGAAGCGAGCGCGGCGTGAGCTGAACGCATTCGGCAACCAGAGACGGACGGCTTCCCAGAACGCCGCAGCAGCAAGTCACAGTGCTTCCGGTCTCAGCGCCGCCATGTCTAGCCCCACAACGGGAACAGCTGGAGGAGGCAACTGCCTCTCGGAGACGGGCAATGACGTCATCAACGATCTCGTGTCGCCTGGAATCCTGTCTCCTGGACATGGCTCAAATGTTCAGTCGTCAGGTGTGACGGGTTCGTCTTCAGTTCACGACAACCTGACAAACGCTGCGACGGGGATCAACAACACGAGCTTCCCCGCACCCCAGACCACAGGGCGAGCGGGCGGCAACGGTGCTTCGACCTTACGTCTGTCGCGACCGAAGCTCAAGGTCTCCGATCACATGACGGTAACCATAGCAACGGACGAGGACGACAACTCTACCAGCTCCACTGATGCTGACGACGGGCCGAGGTCACTGGGTGCGAACAGGTCTCGTGGGCCTAGGCGGTGCGGACACCAGAAGACCAGGAGGAGCAGAAGTAGATCCAAAGCTTCGACGTCTGCTGAAGCGTACATCCAAATCTCGCCTACAGAAACAGCGCCCCCCTCCGGGAAATCTGCAATGTCCGTGTCGGCAATTTCTAGGAAACTTGGCTTTTCAAAGAAGAGGGAGACGAGTAAATGCAGCTACACGTCTATTTCTAAGAACGATGAGCCGTCAGGGAAATTGTCTTCTGCGGGTCCGGCACAGAAGGGGAAATCACAACCCGAGTCTTACGGAAACGCGTCTGAGCTTCCTCTGCTAAATCCGCCGCAGTCGTTGGTAGATACTGCAGATGGTAAGATAGATGAGGCGAACAAAAATAGAACAGTTCCTTGTGGAGGGTTGTCGAGAGAGCCAGACTCAGATGATTCTGAAGATGGTTATGAGAGTGAGCCTGTGGGTGGGGCGGGGAGAAAAAAACAGCCCGAAGCTTCCAATATGGAAGAGGATAACAGGGTGACTTTTATATCTGGGAATCCCACTAATTCACAGCTACATCCGAGCGGCTTGCAAGCGACGAGTGAAAGTTTCTCTCACGAAGATTCGTTGGTACCTCAGACGCAATCAATGATAGCCCCGACTGGGGTGGCTGGTAAAGATTCCAGTTCGATTCTCAACGCAAATGTCGTGTCTGACTCATCCAGAGAAAATGGTTACCTCGCCGACACAGAGAACGTGACGTCATGTTCCCTGTTGTCCCGAATAGGCAATCACTTGTCGCGCTCTAAGCCCCGCCCCTCCTCATCGCTGATGGTGACGTCAATACCACACATCAGACGTCATCGCACCTCCCACCCCCGCCACTCTCACCCCCACTCGCCCTCGTCTTCCAACAAAACCTCATCGTCATCATCATCATCATCATCAGACTCATCCGACGCAGACGACAACCACATCGACGACGACGACGACGACGACGATGATGAAAACACAACAACAACAACGACCAACGCGACAACGACAGCAACGACTACAACGACATCAGGAGGAGGAGGAGGCCGAGGAGGAGGAGGCCGAGGAGGAGGAGGAGGAGGTGGAGACGGTAGCGGAAGGGCAGGAAGTCTGAGCCCTGTTGAGCACCGGTCATTCTCGACCACGCCCTCTCTCGGCCTGTACCGAATCCGTCAGAGCAAGATGGTGCAGCGAGCAGTCCACCTGACGTACCTCGTGACCTTCCTCTTTCTCTTCGCCTGCCTCCTACAGCTCTACACGGTCTTCGGCGTCTATGGCGTGCTTACCACCGTCCCTCGCCCGGACCCTTGGCCTTGGCTCATCTTCCATACCATATTCAGGTCAGTGTGTAGCATTAATTATCTCTTATCCCCTCACACCATATTCAGGTCAGTTAGTAGCATTAATTATCTCTTATCATCTATCATGCCATATTCAGTGTGTAGCATTAATTATCTCTTATCCCCCCACACCATATTCAGGTCAGTTAGTAGCATTAATTATCTCTTATCATCTATCATGCCATATTCAGTGCAGTGGGTAGCATTAATTATCTCTTTTCATCTAACATGCCATATTCAGGTCAGTCGATACTATAAATTACTTACTAACTATACCATATTCAGGTCATTAGATGTTATTTATTACTTTATACACCCTATTCAAATCAGTGGATATAATTAATTGCATCCCACACCATAATATTCAAATCAGTGAACCATTAATTACCTTTTACACCATATTCACACAATTGTTAACCTACCGTTTCATCAGGTCAATGGATATAATGAATTACTTACTGTGATATATTTAGGTCAGTGGATATTGATAACCTTACTTTTACTCACTATCAAAAGTCAAACAGGAGAAATAAGAAAGTGAACAAATAAAATATTTACTCGAACATAAATTGCATAATACCAGGAGTACTTTATCTTAATTCCATCTCAGACACAGACAAACAAACACGCACTAACATGCACCCATTAACGCGCTTCTGCACAAACAAATAATCGAACTGGGACTGAAAATACCTGTACATTTTATCGTGTATGCACACAGGAAAAACAGAAGAGTAAAAATATCCATTTTAGGAATGAAGTCTGCACTTTAAAAAACGCAATTAATAAAAATCCAAACCTCTTTGATGTGCACTTAAGTGGGATTACGTGATAGCAGACCACAGCAAAAATGATGCTGGTTCTTCATAAGAAGAAAATCGTCTCTGCTAAAATTGCCTCACTCACGCAGTAAACACGCTCAAAACCACGGCGTGCTTTTCACGTGCATACATTTCCTCCGGATAATCTTTCGTGTGTTTTTCAATTTCCCAATTTTCTGCATCTGTAAGAAAACATCTCTGCGTTAATGGAGCTTTCATGGAAACGGCCAACAAGCTTTGCCATGCGCCAGAAAAATTCATCCGCGATGTCTCCTATACAAATTCCCTATCTCTTTCTCCATCAAAGAATTTGAATGTTGATTTCCCGAAAATATTTCTCCTAAAAAAGATTAGAGAGAGACATTAAGGTTGACGTTGAGATGGATGATAGTGTAGCGTTATGAAAGCATAGCGAATGGAGATGTCCGCGGGTCACTGTCTGATTATTTTTGTATCATAATATAGCAAACGGGGAAAGGGAGGGAGGGAGTGGGTGGGGTGGGGGAGAGG